CACCCGGGTGAGGACCAGGCCCAGGCCCCGCCCGGCAGAGGCCCCATGCAATTATCCATGACAAGATATCCTCTCCCTGCCAGCGGAGCCTGTGTTTGCTGTAAAGACAATAATTAGCGATAAGTCACAATTCGAAAATAAAGCCCTGCCACGCGCGGAGGGTTGGGTAATTAAAGGCAATTGTGCGCTTCCGAAGCGGGAACCACTCCCCCACTGGGCCCCAGCCACCGGCCCAGCACCCAGAGCAGAATAATGGGACTGTCCACCAAGGAGGGGCACCTCCCTGCTGGGCCCTAAGGTGTGTGTAGGAGTCTGCGGGCAGAGTAAGGTGAACACGACTGGGTGGGAAGTGGAGAGGGTGTGGCCAGAGCTCAGGATACTGCCCAGGGCAGCCCTCTGCTCTGGCCACATCTCCCTGCACCCTTCCTATGAGAAACCCTTAGGGTCATGGCCCCTGAGATCCAGGTGTCCGCTGCCCCTCCAACCTTTAGTCCACTCTTCCCTAAGCTGACCACCGAGGGTGTGCCTGGGCTCCATCAGCAGTCCGAGGGTACGGACCTGACACCCTGTGCCTGCCCTTGTGGAAGGGGCATGTTTCCCCAACCCTGAGTGTTCTCCTCTGTGGGGAGGTAGGGGCGGGAGGGGAGGCAGAGCAGCACTGGGCCGCCCCTTTGTCATCACGGTGGCCCTGTGTGGTGGCGTCCCACCGCTGCACTCAGACATTGGCCTGGCCAGCTGGCCTGTACCCTCCAGAGGCCTGGGACCTCCCAGAAGCAGGACACATTTCCACATGATGCAGGGCCTGTAGCCTCCCCCGCTGTCTGTCTCTCTTCTATCAAATATCTCTGCCAAGTCTGTGGCACAGGAGCATGGTGAGGGCGCCTGGGCAGTGTCTTTGCCGCCTCTCAGTGTGCGTGCCTGTGTCTGTGTGCATGCAGGAGTGGGGTGGAGGCACACATGTGGATATGCCATACGGAGTGTGTGTGTGTGTGTGTGTGTGTGTGTGTGTGAGGTGTGTGCATGCATGGTGGTACATATGGGGGTAGGAGTATGTGTTTGCACATGGGTGTGTGTTGGGTTTTGTACACATGTATATATGTGCCAGTACATGTGTGTTTGTGTATGGGAAGGTACGTATGTGCACCTGTATGTCTGGTGGCTGTGTTTGTGTGTAAGCTGGATGTGTGCAGGGATGAGGTCTCTGTGCATACATATGTGTGCTTATGGGTGTGCATGCACCTGTGTGTGTATGTGTGCATGCACACTGAGGATGCAGGTACAAGTGAGGGGTCTCTGTACATGTGTGTGTGTCCTTATGTGTGTGTGCACACCCACTTGTATGGGTGGTGTGCGTGTGTGTGTGTGTGTAGAGATGAATGTGCAGGTGTGAGATCTCTGTAGACATGTGTATATACTTGTGTGCATGTGCATGTGTGTGTGTATAAGTGCGGGGTCTCTGTGTACACATGCATACGTGCTTGTGTTGTATGTGCGCCCCACACCTGTCTGTGTGGGGGTTGTGTGTACACACTGGGGTGTGTGTGTGCAGTTGTGGGGTCACATGTGTGCATCTGTGTTTAGGTCGCTGTCCTGGCTGCATGGGGGACAGTGGTGGGGCTCGCTCATTGAAATCCCACCCTTCTGTTGGGTGTCCCCCACTGTGAGTGCCCTCGCTCATGGTGACCACCTTCCCAGCACCTGAGTTAGGACGTTGTCCTGCTCAGGAGAGGAGCCTTTCCTGGAGGTGGAGGCCACTGGCTTACAGCCTCCCCCTTCCCCAAGACCTGAATTTTAGATGCCAGGCTGTCTGCCTCTCACACACACACATACACGTTCCGGCTCTGACCTGGACCACAGGCTGTGATGAGGCTGCCCTCTCAGGGGTGTGAGTGTGGCTGGCGTGGCCCACCCTATTGAGGCCGCAGAAAGCCCGCTGGCATGGGGCTCCCTCCTTTGGGGTCCCTTGCTCCTAACTCCTCTGCCCTCAGCTGGGAGGCACAACTTGGTGCCTCAGCGTCCTGGCCAGGACCCCTCCCCCCCTCCCCCCACTGCCTGTTCGTTCCACACATGCAGCCTCATGGTGGATGGCCTTCTGCCCCAGGGGCCCAGGGAGCAGCCGAAAACCTCCCCTGCGCAAGCAGGATTCCGTGGCCAGGGCTGGGCTTGAGGGAACTGGGGTCATACAGGTGGTGGGATGGGTGGGCAGCGGGTTAGAGGGGGAGGTGTGTAGATCGGGCAGCCGTGCCTGAGCAGGGTGGCCAGGGCGATGCTGTCTCCGCTGGCCTGCTGCCAGTCACTTGGGCGCTGAACTCAGTACCGTGGGCCACTGCGGTAAAACAGAGCTGGGCGGCCCAGCCAGCTTCATAGTCTGCCGTTTACCGAGGAGGCCATTTCTCAGTGGTCAGACCTTTGGCTGCTCACCGGAAGGTCGTGGGTTCCAGCTCATCAGCAACCCTGCAGAAGAGAGCCATGGCTCCTGGCGGATCACGGTAGTAGGTCCCACCTGCCCTGTGGGGGGGCTGTGACCCGGAGCCTGCTCCCCCGCAAGGGTCCAGATTTCAAATCTCTACAGGAGCAGATGCCCAGCCAGGCCTTGTCCCCGCGTGTGCTGCTGGGTGGGTCGTGACCTCCCACCTTTCCCTTCACCTCCCACCGCTTAACCGCTGCACCACCAGGGCCCTGCCACCCAGTCACTAAGTTCCTGACCACGTGAGTGCAACCACACTTCCTTCCATCGTGTCAGAGCCAGCTCCCAGCACGGAGTTTCCCACACTGTCAATCTTTACAAGCATAGAAAGCTCCGTAGTTCTCTCTCAGAGAGGCTACGGGTTTCAAACCGCTGACCTTGGGGTTCGCAGCCCAACACGTAACCCACCAGGCTGCCAGGCGCCTTTGTTGAAAATGAGTTAATGCATTCCATGGGGTGACGGGTGCAGGCAGGGCCCTGGGCAGAAGCTGCAGTCAGTGGCACATTGGCTTCGTGGTTGGTGTTAACACCGCGGGGTTAGGTATGGGTCCCGTCAACTGATCCTAGGTGGCTGTGACAGTGGGACATCGAGATGGGGTGGTTCGTGTGAGTTGGCTCCGCAGCGCGGCTGAGACTGTGGGCAGGAGCTGGACTGGTCACACTGCCCCGGGACTTGCGATTGCTCTGATTCCAGATGATGGACAGCTGGGAGTGGATTTCCGCTGTCTGGCGACTTGGGAGGTGGGATCGGGGCAGGTTCAGGTGGGGCTCTGATTCCTGGAGACAGGGGAAGTAAGGTGTGGGCAGGAGGGTGCACTCAGGTGGTTCCAGAGAGGGTGTGGCTGACTCTCTCCTGTGCCTCCCCTGAGCTCGCTGTTGTGAGGGGGCATTGACCCCCCACCACCACCCAGCATGCGGCTCCTCCCACCATGGCTCCACCCCTTGGTGGTCGGGTGGGTAGACCCCGCGGTCTCAGGAGGTAACTGCAGGAGGTAACTGCCTCCCCCATCTGTGGGAATCCCCCCTCCCAGATGCCAGACATGTGGGGTCTGGGACCTGGGTATTTGGAGGAAGGGGGACGTGGATATCGGGGTACCTGGCCTGTGCGTCTCTCAGTAGGTTTCTGACCCACTTGGGGCCTGCTGCTGGGAGCTGGGAGCAGGGTTACCCCTCACCTCCCCCACCTGCTCTCCCAGCTGCTACAGAAAAGCCCCCCCAGTAGGTGGGGGCCGCGGACGCCACTCACACAGTTCCTCGTGCGGCCTGAGGCAGTCAAGGCAGCTGCCACCAGCGCCCTCTGTCTGAGACCTGGGACTGTGCCCCTTGGCTCTCCCAGCCCCTGTAGACAGCTGGCCACCCATGTCCCTCCGTCTGTCCATGTCTCTGCCCTTCCTACCCGGATGCCAGCCTGCAGCTTGGGGCTGTCCCACGCTGCAGGGGCTCAGCCTCTCTGGTCCCATCCGCAAAGACACCGTTTCCAAACATGGCCATGCTCCAAGGTCCTGGGGTTAGGACTTAGACTTGTCTCCTTGGGGGACGGGGGGACCCCAAGGGTCCCTGGTGGCGTGGCAGTTGGGCTTTCGGCTGATGAAAGAGAAGGTTGGTGGTTGGAAAGCCAAAGCAGGCTGCTTCTTAAAGGACTTATAGCCCCGGTCCCCCGCCAGCCAGTTCTCTTCTGCCCTGGGTGAGTTTGGGGTTCTGTTCACCCCACAAGCCTTGTGCTCCTTTCTCAGCTCTGCTTGCTACACACGCAGTGAGCTGTGGGCAGGAAGCAATCATTGTCCCCCACGCCCATCCCCGCACTTTGAGCCAGCCCGTTGGTCCTCTAGGAGGTCAGCAGCTCAAGCCGCCCACACAGGCCATCAGCCCGCCCTGGCCAGTGCCGAGGGGAGGAGTAGGGGGTAAGGAACAGGGCTGAGTGTGGCTGCAGGGCCCGGGCAGGTGTGAGCATCTTCTTGCAAGGTGTGGAGGGACCAGCCTCTGCCGGCGACGGGGCCCTGTGCTCTGCAGTTGGGAGTGGTTCAGGGTGGATGTTGCCAGGGAACTGAGTGTAAGCTTCCACAGCACATCAGGACATGCATCCAGGCCTAATCCACCCGGTGGTCCAGTCACTGGGCTACCACTGAGGAGGGGGCCCCACCCCCCACTGAATTGTGGGGACTGCCGTCTGACACATCGGGGGTCCTGACCCAAAATAACTGAGGGGTCCCCAATGGTGTGATAGTCAATCCTTCCAATTTCCACATGTCCTGCCGGGAAGATGAATGGAGGTGCCCCTCAGAATCCCAGGGGTGGGGGCCCAGGTGGGGAGCCCAGGGGACCAGCCCCAGGGCAACTACTGCTGTCACAACACAACACAAGACGGTGGCATCAACACACAAGCACCCCCACTTAGGAGCCCTTGGGGGTGTGGTGGTTACACATTGGGCTGCAATCCGCATGGTCGGCGGTTCGAAACCGCTATCTCCTGTCTACAGTTACGGTCTCGGAGACCCAAAGGGGGCCTCTCTGAGTCCCCCTTGACTCGGTGGCAATGGGTCTGGTTGGGGAAGGCTGGCAGCCCGCGCTCAGCGTGCTGGCCCTGGGGAAGGACCTGGTCCCTGGTGGCTTGGTGACCCTCTGGCAGTGTGGTACCTCTCTGCCTCGGCTCTGGTTGCTGGCTCCCTTGTTTGACCTCTGTTACATCCCCAAGCCCGCACCACCAGCCTGACTCATGGGCAGAACAAAGGGGCCTGGAAGCAAGGCACAGAGGCTAGAGTTTGCCACACATTTGCAAGGGGGGCACAATTTAATCTATCACATTCTGTCCCCCCAACCAAGATTCATGCCCTTGGCCCATGTACTACCCACCTCTCATCATCCCAAAAGGCTTAAATCTACTCCAATTCCCAAATCTCATCTGGTGGCCCCGCTCCATCAAACAGGGTCAAGCTGTAACTTCTGTGGGGGACAGGAGGGGCCTGTAGTGGCCCCAAGACGCAGGCCTGGGGGAGGGGCTCCATTGGGGGCCAGTTGAGCAGGGTCCACCGAGATCAGCATTCTTACTGAGGGGTCACAGGGGAGATTTTTGAGAAGGAATGAGGTAGGGGTGGGGGCGCGTCGTGGTGTGTATGGGGTGTGTGTGCAGGCAGAGTGACCTGCAGTCACCCCACTGCCCCCAGCATGACAAGGAGGCGTGGGTGTGGCTGGGTGGCCTGCAGAGTCAGGCTGGCCGCAGGGAAGATCGAAGGACCAGGGGCATCTTCGGGGTCCTCCCCAGGGTGTGAATCAGGGGGCCTTCAGGAGGATGAGCACTGTGTGCAGCTGGGAGGCTATCTGGGGTGGGGGCTTCGTTCCGGGATCTGAGCCTCTGCCTTGTCTCCTGTGCAGGTCTCGTGAAGCTGGGAATTCACTGTGTCACGTGCCAAAAGGTCGCCATCAAAATCGTCAACCGGGAGAAGCTCAGCGAGTCCGTTCTGATGAAGGTGAGAGCCTGGCCCCTAGGCCTGCGGGGCAGGACTCAGGGAAGGACCCGCGGCGGGGCGGAGCTCGGGGCGGGACTCAGAAGGACCTGGGG